GGGGGGGCCGGACGGGCCGGGCGCGGCCGAGCTGCCCGGAGAGGAGGACGAGGGGCAGAACCTCTGGTGAGCGGCCGGCGGGGCTCGGCGGGGCCGAGCGGGGCTGGGACCGGGACCGGGACCAGCCGAGCGGGGCCCTGGGCCCGGCCCGGCCCGCGGGGCAGCGCTGGGCCCGGGCTGAGGCAGCGGAGCCCCGAGCGGGCCGTGCGGGCCCGCAGAGCCGGCTGTGCGGGGCTGCTCCGGGAGACCCTGCCCCGTGTGCCTTGTTTGTTAGCCCTGAGTAACGCTGGTACAATCCCCGGGACGGCAGGAAAACGTATGTGAAACGCAGCGGCGATTGCGGGGAGCGTTAGTCAGCAGCTGAGAAGTGATGTTCCGTAGTAACGTGGCCTGTCCTAACGGAGAGCAACTTAAGACGCTGCTGCCCGTGTGTTAGAAATCAATGTGAGATTTCTCAATTTGAGAAAGCGAAGCGATTTCTCAGTTTGAGGAAACCTTCTCAGAAAGGTGCCCCGCCTTCTGTGTGTTCGGATGCGGAGGGTTCCTGGCCGTGCCCCCGTGCCGGTGTGTGCCAGCCGGGGGATGTGCTGAGCTCACGGGCTCTGCCCGTGCCGTGGCGGTGCCGGGACAATGCGGATCCTTTCCCTGCTTTTCCAGGTCTTCCATCCTCAGCGAAGTCTCCACACGGTCCAGATCGAAGCTGCCATCGGGCAAGAACATCCTCGTTTTTGGTAAGTAACCCACGCGAGCACTTGGGCGGTGGTTTGTTGTTCTTTTATTTGTCGGAACCAGGCGTGTTTAAGACAATGATGTGAACAGACTGACACATGGGTTTGTTACAGTTGGGTTATGTAATTTGATCGCTGATTTGGGCTTCACTAGATTTACTTTCTTTTTGATTTAAACTGTTAGATTTATAACATATTGAAACTAATAATAGTAGAGAATAAATTAATGCTTCATTCTTATTGTTATTGTATAAGCTTGAATACTTGAAAGAGAACAACAAATAACTATGATTCAGGAACGTACAGTAATGCTTCTGACTAATTAAGTTGTGAAAAAAATCTTTTCTAAGAAATTAAAGGTAATTCTGAAGGTGTCTTTTTTTTTTTCTTGTACAAACTTGCTGGCAGGTGACGATGGTTCAGGTAAAACCACGCTCATGGCCAAAATACAGGGAGCAGAGCATGGCAAGAAAGGCAGAGGACTGGAATACCTGTACCTGAATATCCACGACGAGGACAGAGATGGTAAGTTCATTTAGTACATAATCTCTCTGCTGTAATTAAGTAGCTGACATGCCACGTTAATGATTGTGGTTTCATGAGTGTGTTTTGGGTTCCACCCAGGCAGTGCTGTGTGTTTTAGCAGGTGTACCCATGTCTGTGCACTGGGCTGTGTTCCACAGTCAGGGTGAATTCCCCCTCTTGCCCTTCTGGCAGCTGGGCCTGTGTGTGAGGAGAAGGTCCCCTTGGGCAGCTCTCAGGATCAGTTCCCTGGCAGGGAGATACTTTGCTGATGTTGACTTTGTAGCAGCTCTCAGGTCATTTGCAGTGGCTACTGTGGAAAGTAAGTGATACATCCCTGAGAATCGAGTTCTGCTGTGGATTTCTGGGCACAGGGACTGGGTGTTTGCTCGTAGGGGCTGTGTGTGGAGCTTTGGTTGACTGTGACAGATGTTCTGTTAGAGTTGATTGAGTGAAGAACAGAACATAAAGTCAGAACTAGTATTTAGTTTGCTCAAGTTGGAGCTTGTCTCTTTACCCTTGTCTTTTTGTTGCTGTTGATCATTGCTTGTCTCTGCTGTATGGGAGGCAGACAATGACAAGAAAACATGTCTAATGATCAGAATAGTCCTGTTTTTGGGAAGGCTGGAGACAGGAAGAGATGGGGATTGAGTTTGTTATCTTTGCTCCTAAATGTGCCTCTGCTTGTGTCATTTTGGACAAGCTGCTGGAGACTCAACTCTCTGGGTTAGTTTGTCTTTAAGAAGGGGAATGACAGTCCCTATTGATGAGTTCCTTCTGAGTTTTGGAGTGCAGAGGGAAGCAGTGATGGTGCCTGATCCCTGTTCCTGAAAACAAGTGGACCAGGCAGCTCCTGTGCTGGTATTTGGAGCTGGAGATGCACTGAGCCTTGCAGGAGTGATTAAGTGCCATATGTGACTGTTGTTATGGAGATGGGCCCTGCTCTCACGTGGCAGGAAACTGTCTGTGGATCCTAAGTTAGGCACAAGGAGAGGATGAGTACATTGCCTGTGTCTTCTGTGGCCTCCTAATCTTGCAGTTCCTGAAAATCTTTGGGGCTGTCATTTGAAGTGCTGAACTGTTCTTGGCCCCTCCAGGGTGTGGGTGTCAGTGCCTTCCCTCCTGCACAGGCTGCTTTAGCTGGGTGGGAACACTCTAGGGGATCAAAGCCCTGTGATTAGGAGCTAGGACAGCCTGTGTCATCAGGCTTCTGGCAGCTTCAGAGGAGAGGGCATTCTCGGTAGGAAAATGTTTGCTGTGCTGTTTTTCCTGGTGTTGTCTGTCAGACCTCAAGTATATCCCTGCTTTGGAAATATTTGATGGCTATTCCTGAGTGTCTGAAAGTGGGAACTGTTTGAGGTGATTAGGAGAGGCCTGTCATGAGAACTCAGGCAGCACTAGCAGGGAAAAAAAGAGACCTTTTTGACTGACTACAGACTCAGTGGGAGAATTCAGGTCTTCATGCATCCTTCTAATGGATGTGTGAGGATCTAATAATACATCCCTTTTTCCTTTCTGTCTCATTAGTGTCACCCGCAGCAAAATAAATAGCAAAGTGGGTCAGGACCTCCCAGCAGGCTGAGATAACACTCTTCCTTCTCTAGGACAGGTTTGGATTTGGTTTTTAGACTCTGTGTGCTTCAGATGTGTGCCTGCTCAGATACAGCTTTGGGAACAAAGCCTGTATAAGTGACCCACAGTTCTTGGAAGCCGTGAGGAAACTCAGCACAGGCATTCAGGAGCTCACTGCCACACTGGGGGGGTGAGGGTATCTGCATTTAATTATCCCCCAGCCTATCTCTGACCAGACCACAGGGATTTCCAGGGCTGTCTGAGCAACACTAGTAGCTGAAACTCTGTAGTGGCATGAGAAGATCTTCTCAGCTTCTTTCCCAAGTGGTGGGAGATTTGTTTGTTCCCTTTGCCTTCCACTCTTCTGAAATGAAGAATAATATTCTATCCAGGAGAAATATTTTGGTCATAGTGCTGAGTCATTTTCTACCTCCCACCTCCCTTTGGAAATCTCAAGGAAAATCTGTGTTGTTTCTTATTGCATCACTCCCCTTCCCCCTTCCTCTTTAAGGGATATTTGAACTTGGCTTCTCCTACGTTTAAAGTAGAATTTCTCTCAATAGCTGGATGCACATCTTAGTTTACAGTTACTTTTGCTCTAAGGATTAAATTGTTCTTATTATCTTGTAGGGAATTTACACTAATGCACAGAAGACCCTTTTTTCTTGAAGGGCTCCTGTGGCTCAGGCAGTGACGTTTTGGGTTTCCCTGTCACCTGCTGGTTTCTGGGCAGTGGCCAGTGCAGGTCTAATGATCAGAGCAGTCCTATTTTGGGGAAGGTTGGAGACAGGAAGGGGTGGGGAGTGACTTTGTCTTTGCTCCTGAGTCTGAGAGTGTTTAAAGTCTGCTTGCCCATTTTGGGTGTCCCATGGGGGGCCAAATGCCCGTGGCCCCTGTGTTGGCATCCAGCTGCTCCAGCTCTGCCAGGTGCTCCTGGTTCAGTGTGCCATGCAGGGCTTTGCCCCCAGGGCTCAGGGGAACTCAGAATCCAAGTCTGCTCCTGAATCTCTGCCTGAAAAGTCTCTTTCCTGGGATACCATCCCAAATTGTGCCTAAGGCACGTGTTTGAGAAGAGGTTTGGAGGTGCCTGAGAGAGAGCACTGTCCTAAATCCCCAGGTGTATTATCCCTGGAGCAATGGCAGCTCCTGCATAGGTGACCCCATGGTTCATCTGCAGGAGAGCACTTACAGCCCTGTCTGGGAAGTGAACTTGGAATATTCACTGCCTTGGAGCCCTGGGTTGGTGGAATTGCTCAGGGGTGAGGCCTGTCTTTGTGATGAACAGATGTTTTGTGTCTGGGCTGGTTAGTCTGCTTTGGGGAACTGAGCATCTCAGTTTGTAGGAGGTAGAAGAGGAGCTGTGCAGAATTTCCTGAAAGGCCCTGTGTGTGCAGAGGAGCTCTCAGCCTCTCCTGCAGTGATGGGGCAGAGTTCCACCAGGGATGTGCAGCACAGCAAGGACTTTGCAGCATCCTGCTGGGTCAGCTGGAAATGACAAACACCTCAGGACTTTCTGGGCTGCCTCAGGTTGCAAATACAACCCAGCTGTCCTGTCTGTGCCAGGGAAGCTGAGCCACTCTGCTGCTCAATTCTTACCTGTAACAAAATCAAGCAGTCTGGAGTTCTGCCTCAGGTTTGGACTGGCCTCGCTTGTGTTATATTCATGTTCCAGTTGAACTGGTTGTTCCACACTGAGCCAAGTCTTGCTGCTACAATGGTTTCTGATGGGAAAACTGTCTTTTTTTGTCAACATCTTTAAAGGGGTTCTTTTGAAAGTTTTCTCCTTTTTTTACTTCTCTTCACATCTTGGGCAAGGGATATCTAATTGTGCCTTTGGAATAAATGCAGGTGCAGTTGCAGTTCACACAGTCCACCTTCTGCAGTAAAATTCATCAAAGTTGGCAAATCTAAAGGGATAATGGGATATGGACAGGACTTAGAGGTGGATTTCAGCAGTATTAGGTAGCACCTGCTTTTCCAACAGGATCTGTAATGCTTTGCTCTGTCCTGGTGTCTCTTGTCATGGCCATTATGAAGGGCCCAGTTGACGTTCATGCTTAATCAGGAGCTTGATGTGGAGCTGACAAAGCTGACTTTGCCATCGAGTCCTTGCCAAACTGAGCAACCAGTGCTGTGCTTTGAAGGATGTTTTACATTTTAGCAAATGTCAATCGCAAGACATACCTGTTTCCTGTAAGAAAGGAGCAAAACCTTTCCTTTTCATACAGTGTTCCATTTCTTGTTCAAGTACATTTTGGTGGGAGTGACAGGCTTCCTGTATTCCTGGCAGATTGCTTTCATTGGAGTGAGAGTTCCAGATGCTCTCTAGTTCCACCTGTGTCCCATTCCAGGTGTTAAGCAAAAATGAAAGTCTCAAGTGGGACAAAGGTGTTTAGCAAACAAACCCTTAGATATTGGCTTTAAAAAGTGACTTAGAAGCCGTGAATTAGGATATTTATTCATTTTTGCTCCTTGCCAAGGCGTGAGAGTCTTTTCTGCAATCCGAGCACTCCCCACAGGAGGATCCATCAGAGTGCTGGTCAGAGCTGTGAACTTTGATGAGCTGTAGGCAGACCTGGTTATGTTTTCAGAGGTTTCATTCATGCTCCAAGGAGACCCAGTGCACAGCCACAGACCATGGCTATTTATAGCCCTGAGCTCATGGAAGGCTCCCTGGCTGTTATTCCCTGGCAGGTTGCTGTGTTGGGAATGTGCACAGCATGTTTCTAGAATGCAGAGTGTCACAGCCCTGCCCAGATGTTTCACTGCTGTTGGGCCATGGGAAATGTGTAAATAGGTTCCCATGATGAAAACCCCACCTTGCTCTCTGTTTTCCAAACTTCTGCCAGACCCTCCCTGTATCCTCAGAGCTCTTTGACAGCTTTAGATGTCAACAGTGCTGTGAGAATCCCGTGGGACACCAGTGGGAAGTGTCCTGAAGTGGGGGGAGGAAGGGGGAACAGTGCTGAACATGCATTTCTTGGCTGCACAGGGGTTATCCCAGCTGTTTCGTGAAGGTGGCTCTGAGGTGTGCTGGTGGAACTGGGAAGAGCTGCGAGTTCCAAGTGTGGCTGTGGCGTGTTTGTGGGGTGGCTGATGTTGGAATGTCTGAGGACATTGCTCATGTGCAGCATCTTGATGGGACTGGGCTGTTCAGGAATTTTGCCCAGGAGCTGATTAAAGGGGTACTGTGTGTATATCTGTAATCTTTCCTCCTTCCAGATCTCTTAGTCAAGCTTTTTTTCTGGAGCCAGGAGCATCCTGGATTGCTTCCTAGAATTAAGTTATGATAGCCACAGTAACTGGATGTATTTTGAGAAGTGGAAAGACTCAGGGCAGGGAAGAACAGTGAGACAGAATAATCATAAAGCTCAGTGGCTGTTCTGAGAATCTGGGCTGTGCAGTGATTGGTTTGCAGATCTGTCTGTTCAAGAATTCATGTGTGAGGCTCACTGTTCCCTCTGCATAGCTGGAGTACAGCAGGGAATACTTAGGAAGACCCGAGAAGATGGAAACAATGTTCCTTTTCAGGAGGAAAAATCCTGAGGATAAAGTAATTTAATTTTATTTGGACAGAATTGGTTGTTGATGGTATCTGATACATCATTCCTGGATGAAGCTGCTTTTTCAGGTTTTGTGTTCTTGCCAAGAGTTCTGATTTGGGGTAAAATGCCAGCTGATCCCCTTTGAACAAAAAAATGTTCAGCCACTATTAAAACACTTGGGGAAGACACACAAAAGCTAAACCCTCCAGGCATTTCTCCAGTACTCAAGTAATGGCCAGAGTTAAGTCAGTGTGAATTAAGAGCAGGAGCACACCCTTGCTGGGCAGGTTGAAGTTTATCCTGTGTTTCTCCTCCCACTCCTGTGCTGGAAAGCTAAGCTGCTTATTGCTTGGATCTTGTTTGCAGCTTATCTGTGCTGGGAGGTGTCCCCAGGGTGTCAGAGCAGCTCGTGTGTCTGGGGGACACCTTGGGCAGGTCCCCCCTCAGCCCCACACTTTGTGTCACACATCCTCTGGTTCCACTTTGTGCTTCAAACTCAGGGCTCCTGTGCAGGATTTACAACACTTGTGTCAGCTGTGCTTGGGAAAAGCCCATAACAGCAAGTATTTAACACTGATGCACCCATCTGTTTAAACCCAGACCAGCAAAGCCAGGCCTTGGGCTCTGCTGAGTCACAGCTGCACCTCTTCCTTTCAGACCACACTCGCTGCAACGTTTGGATCCTGGATGGGGACCTGTACCACAAAGGGCTGCTGAAGTTTGCAGTGTCTGCAGAGTCCCTGCAGGACACCCTGGTGGTGTTTGTGGCAGACATGTCGAGACCTTGGACTGTTATGGAGTCTCTACAGAAATGGGCCAGTGTCTTGCAAGAACACATTGATAAGATGAAGATTCCTCCAGAAGAGATGAGGCACATGGAGCAGAAGTGTAAGTCTTTACAGCCAGGTATTCTTGTTCTTTTTTTTAATTAGCTCTCGCTGATTTCTCTTGTAATGGTAGATTTCTTTGGATTGGTGTTTTGAGAATGACTTTGAAGTTGTGACTGCAACTCTAGTTCAAACAGACTCTGTTAAAACAACTCCTCCAGTCTTGCTGTGCTGACGAAACATCAGGTGAATTATTGGTCCATATCCCATGCAATAATGAGGTTTTGGTAATTTGGTTTTTAGAAAGGGCAATTAAAAAAAAAAACAACCCCATAAAGTGACAGATTCTCTTCTTTCAAAATGGTGACAAAGCTCATTAATGGAGTGAGATGTTCACTTTCCTGTGCTATCCAAGCCAGGTCCATTCCCACTCTGTGCTTGTCTTCCAGAACGTCTCTTTGCCCTTGTTTATCTCAGAGCTCAGACTGTGACCCTGGTCCAGCTAATTGGCTCTCACTGCAGCCATTCCTACCCTGTGACTTCAGGAATGTTGTATAAATTAACCTTCTTTCCTGGCATATCCATGGCAGGACAGAGCCTGGCACTGGCAAGCAGTCATTGCTGCAATATTATTTCCTCCAGCTGCTTTTTTCCTTTAAAATAGTTCTGAATGTTTCTTGATTTTTTTTTTTCCTGTTTCCATATTGAATTACTCCAAAATAAATTCCTGCAGTGGAAAAGCCCTTGGGAATGTGCATTCCTGTTCAGGTGAAGCACAGATTCAGACTGAGCCTTGCTGGGTGGGGCTTCTGTTCTGTTTTCTCTCTGTGCTGGAGTTTGTAAACCTTGCAAACACTGTCTGGTGTGTTCCTGAGGTTCCCCTTAGGCATCTGTTTGGCCTGTGAGCCTTCAGGTGGATTTTTATAGCTGAGATCCTTTCTGAATGTTAAATATTACGTTCCCAAAAGCCTTGTGCCTACAGCACACGAGCTAGAGTTTAAACTTAAAACCACCTGGGTTGGATCATTAGGTTATATTAGGGGGGAAAAGTAAAATGTGACAGTTTTGAATGGAGAAAGTGCTGGGGTTTTTTGGGGGAATGGGAAATGGAAGGGCAGTTCTAGTATCAAAATGTAACAGTTAAGTCAACTTGTGCTTTTCTGGGACAGCAAATTTTATGGAAATCCAGATAAAGGTGTTTTAGCCTTCCCTTCCTCCTGCTCCTCCGCCCTGGGTGGCCCAGCTGAGTGGCTGCAGAGCTTTCCTTGGCTCTTATACCACAGTTCTGGTCTGTCCAGGATTATCCCAAACTGCTGCTGGGTTGTTCCTCCTGCATTGCCCAGGGCTGAGGAGCTTCCACAGCCCCTTCTGTTGGCTCCCCATTCTCCGTGGAGCTGGACTTTGCACTGCTTGGCTTTGCTCTCAGAGTTGTGGGGCCTTTTTCCAGCCAGCCCTTGGGCTGTGTTTGCTCTTTGAGGTACTCACTCTTGGCTTCCTGGAACATGAGGAACTTCCCTTTGGAGTCAGAGCTTCCAGAGCAGGAGCAGGGCACACAGGGGGGACAACAAACTGCCCTAAAGAAATGGAATTGTTCAGGATATACCCAGGGTCTGTCTGCACTCCTGTCACTGAGCTGCTCAGCAAATTCCTTGCTAACAGCTGATGTGAATTCACACACACCATGTCAAATATTCTAATTTAATTCAAGCTCAGTTGTGATAAATCATTATTTAAATAACACACATTTGAATAATTATTTTGGGGAAGATGTAAATTTTGCCTTTCTATTTCAGACAGCAAAGCAGAAAAGACAACTGTCAAGAATCCAGAACTTAATATGTGATTCCTTAATATGCATTATGTGGAGGAGCAAATCTTAGGAGCCTGCTAGAAAAAAGGAAAAAGAAATAACTGTAGGAGTTGTTTGGGCACACGAGGAACTTTGTCCATGAAAAGCTTGAGGGTTTGGTACCCCTGTCTTGGGGAGAGGGAAGAGTTGGGAATGAATATTGTCTGATTACAGTGCTGTAGTAAATGAGAACAGGACTGACAAATATTCTTTTACATGTGATTGAGTCAGAAGGGCTTATCTGAACCACTGTGGGAGTGGTAAATAGTGACTTTTCCAAACTGCTGTGATACACTTCAATGGGGTTTTTTCTGTTCTGAGCTAGAAAGAGTCTGAGTAATAGTAAAGTTAATAAAAGTAAGTGCTTAAAAAACCTTTTTCTACTGTGCAGAATGTGTAGTGGAATTGTGAGTTGCCTTTGCTGAGGGGAAGCAGTCCTGGAGGGAGGCATCTCTGAGCACTGCTGCTCCCTCTCCACCAGAAGGCACTGCCTCCCCACCTTTAAATCAACCTTTGTGTTTTAGTTTCCTTGGTCACTGGGTTATACTGAATTGGTGATTGGAGGTCTCATGGTCTGTATTTAGATTGGGGTTTTTAAGCTTTTCTCTGGACTAGAGCTCTCTTCTTTTCCACCAAGAATCACACAACTTGATATTTCAACTAAAAACTGTAGACTGGGCAGTTCTGAACAGGTGTGATTTTCTGATTTGCTCTTCCTTGCACACCCCCATCTATTGCAGGAAGGGTTCCTATTTTCAAAAGGTACAGTGATTTCATTTAGACTTCATTAGAAACTTCCCTAAGGTTTTACACTTCCTAAACTTCTCTGGGTACATCCGCATTTTCCCCACTCCTTCTGCCCAAACAGGTACAAACTGCACTGGGCAGAGGCTGTGTTGCTAAACCACATTTATGTTTTCTTGTGCCAGCTCCCTGTAGTGAAACCTTAGGGAATGTGCATCTGTACAGACTACAGCTCTTGCAGCTCATTTGGATTGTTTGTAATGGCTCCAAATTCCACCTGATTCAGGTTGCTGTCAGTTTTGATGGAGGAGGATTGTTGTGTTTGAAGGGGCAACAGGGCTTGACATGCATTCAGTTCTCAGGTAGAACTAAAAAAAATATAGAAATAAAAAAATACTGAGATTTCTAGTTAGCCACAGATTAATGACGGCTTAAAAAGAACTCCTTCCTTTGTTGCACCCTAAGAAAACCTCTCTCTTTGTAGTCATAAAGGAGTTCCAGGAGTATGTAGAACCTGAAGAAGGCTACCAGGGGTCCCCCCAGAGGAGAGGTCCTTCTTCTGGCCAGGAGGATGAACACGTTTCCCTGCCCCTCGGAGAAAATGTGCTGACCCACAACCTGGGCATTCCTGTGCTGGTGGTGTGTACAAAAGTGAGTTCCTGCTGCTGTTGGGCTACTGTGGGAGAGGTTGATTCCTTTTCTTTCAGGAGGCATCTTCCTGCAGACATGCAGAGTGAATTCCAGACCAACAGTAACACGGTTGATTTTATTGTCCATTTATTGGGGGCATCCTCAAACCACCGGCTCGGAGGAGATGAGAGGGGGGGTGATATTAAAGATGACATTTTAAGGTGCTCTGGGATGAAGTGATTGTCTTTCCTGGGTTTGTTCTCCCCCCCTGGCAGTGTGATGCAGTGAGTGTACTGGAGAAGGAGCACGACTACAGGGAAGAACACTTCGACTTCATCCAGTCACACATCCGGAGATTCTGCTTACAGTGTATCCTTCCTGTGCCCGAGACAGTCACTGCCATTTGGCAGCAAGAAAACCTCTTTGAATGTTAAATTGCACAGAAAGTTAATGCAAGAAATGGCACTTCAAGATTAGTGTGTAGCAGGTGTTGTTTTGAAAATATTGAGAGGTGTATAAAATTATTTATAGTTCTTAAATCGGGCGTGGGATTTGGAGGTTTTGTTCCTTTGTCTTGCATTCTGTGAGGTGGTTTTGCTTGGGTTTTGCCTGGAATGTGCAATTCCCATGTAAAGCTGAGATCTCAGCAGTCTCTCAAGTGTTTGACTTTCCAAGTGAAGTGCCTGGATGTCAAAGAAAAACATCACGAGTCTTGTCCTGTTCTATCCCCTTCCTCTCCCTGAATATTAAATGGCTCCAGGTTTTGCCTCGAACTGCTTCTCCAAACTAAATCTAGTATATATGAGTCTATAAACTCCTGTTTTGAAATTATTACTATAATTTGCTAACTATACCCTGCATCATTTTCCTTAAACAGCTACTCAGATGGGGCTGCCTTGATTTATACATCAGTTAAGGAGGAGAAGAACCTTGACCTGCTGTATAAGTACATTGTACATAAAACATACGGTTTTCAGTTTACCACACCTGCCTTAGTGGTAGAAAAGGATGCAGTTTTTATGTAAGTCCCTGGTACAGGCAGCGTGGCTTCACCCTGCTTTCATCAGCACTTCATGTCACATGTGTGTCCAAATGTTGTTTAAAAGCTTGCTGTGTGAGTCTTGTGAAATGCCCAGTTGAAAAAAAAAACAATGTAGTGAATATTCCTTGGGTCACTTGAGTCAGGGTATGGTATCTTTGCAATTTAGCTGAGAATTAGGACTGGCCTGGGAGAAAATGGCCTTATTTAAGTCGAGGGCAGCGAATAAATGGTCTCTGTAGAAGAGCTTTTTGTGACTGAAAAGGCAAAGCTCTCCTCCTTTTTGCAGACCTGCTGGTTGGGACAACGAGAAGAAAATTGCCATTTTGCATGAAAACTTCACAACAGTAAAACCAGAAGATGCATATGAGGACTTCATTGTAAAACCTCCTGTAAGAAAGGTAAGAAGGGGTGAACCCTTCCCTGCCCCCCAACAAATAAGGGCAGTTATAATGGCTGCTGATGACTGTTATTATTGAAGAGCTCCACATAGAAATGCAACTTTTTTCATGAATCCAAATGTGTGAAACATCAGGCTTTCATTATCCAGTTAGTTAAAATACTGCAATCAAATTCGCTTATTGAATGAAAGGCAGCCCAGAAGTATTATATTACAAATTACACCATTTTTGCATGAGTGGGACAGTAACACTTAGAAAATGGTGAATTTAGGACTTCAGCAATTTACACAAGGCACTGAGGTTCCAGTGTAAAGGCAAAGCAAGGCAATCTCAGGTCTTGGAGGAGATGCTGGTGTGGCTGCTTACCAAGTGCTCTTCTTTCTGGGATATTTCTGCCCATAGGCTGTCACCAATGGGCAAAACACTGCTCCAGTGTTTTTTATCTTTTTTTTTTTAATGACAATTTCTTTAATATATTATTTTAAATGTGAAAGAAGAACTTAAAAAAAAAAAAAAAGGAAAGAATTCACTTCTAATAACAAAATGTTTTGGTCAACAGTTAGTCCATGACAAAGAGCTGGCAGCAGAAGATGAGCAAGTGTTTCTTATGAAGCAGCAGGTAAGAATGGAAGAAAGAAAATAAGTCCTTACTAAATAAGATTTCACTTTGAGTTCTCTGTGGTTCTTACCTCCAGGTTTTCACCCCTCCTTCAAATCACTTGGTAGCTGTTTTTCAGCTGTGCAAATTCAGGTGTAATTGGGAAATATGACTTGTATTTTCACAGTAAAAATTATAGCCGCTTATCTTGGCAAGGTGAAAGGAGGGTATGCTGAGAGCAGAGTAATTTACCTGTCAGAGGGGAAGAGGACAGTTTGGAATCTCCCCACATGGTTGTATTGGTCTGTACAATACAGATGCTTGTAAAACCCAACACCTGAACATTGCAGTTTTCTTCCAGCCAGAGGTTTGAAAGGCTGTAAGGTGTCAAATTTGGCTATGCAGTAACTTGTTTTGTTTTTTGTTTTTTACTGCTCTATTGTTTAAACACCTACAAATACTTCCCTCTTGGTTATAAATATCCTGGAGGTTCCAGATGGGGTGTCTGTGATTCTGAGCTGGCTGGACGGGACAAAGGACCAAAGCTTGTTTATTCATTGCAGCTCACTCCTCTGGAGTTGGGAAGTACAGAAATCCCAAAGAGGAATCCTGTCAGGGGAAAAAAAAATCAATTTTATTCCTGTCTATTTTCTGCAATGTGTTTAACACTCTTGTTATGTCGTTCCTGCAGTCGTTCCTTGCCAAACAGCCGGCAACGCCTACGAGAGCATCAGTAAGTACATCCAGGGAAAAGAGGAGGAGGTGTTTGGTTTCCTTCTAGGGAAAAGGGAATGATTCCAACCTGGAGAGGTTCATTTTTTAAAATTTCAATCTAACCTACATAATCTCCCCAAACTCTACAAAGCCAATAATAAGGCAATAGTTTAAAATGTTGCTTATAAATTGCCTCGTTCTGATTCACAGTGGAAATGTAGAAATATCTGATGATAACTGGAATATTCCTACAGTGATTCCTTCAGCCTTTCTTTGAGTGAGGCACATCCCCAGCATTCCTGGTGTTTTGGCTGTTTGTTTTCTTTCTCCAGTGTGCAGCACTGCAGTGCTAATGGCTGAGAAAGTCATTTGTATGTAATGTTATATTTGCTTCATGTAACTAATCCGTGGAAGTTCCCTAATTTGTGTGATTTGCACTTTTTTAAGGAATCTCCTGCGAGAGGCCCTGCAGGATCCCCAAGAACTCAAGGCAGAGCTGGTCCCACCAACGTCCCCAGTGCCTCACCAATAACATCAGTTAAGAAACCAGATCCAAATATTAAAAGTATGAAGCAGCATTTTACTGTTTTAAGCATGTATTACTTCTCTTAAAAAAGAATCTGATTTTGTAGAAAGAGGTCTGAATTTATTCACTAGGGGTAGAGTTAGTTAATAACAGAAATGATTTTATGAGGTAATTCAGGTTTGATTTTTTTTCTTGTCATTTCTGTGACCTGAGTTAGAGTCCTGTTCCTGCCAAGCAGTCAGACAAAGATCAAATATACTGTTATTTCCTTCAGTTGATGAAGTATATTTATTAGGCATCAGCTGGATTATCGGAGTGGAGACTGCTTTAAACTACACACAGTTTATACTTCACATTTCCTTGATTAATAAGACAGTTGTATAATATGTATATAAATTAAGTGCTGTTGTTTACCAACTCCAAGTGCTCTGGGTGATACAAATATATTTTTGTTTTTTATTTAGATAATGCTGCAAGTGAAGGTGTCTTGGCTAGTTTCTTTAACAGCCTCTTGAGCAAAAAGACTGGCTCTCCTGGAAGTCCTGGGGCTGGAGGAGTGCAAAGCACAGCCAAGAAATCAGGTATTGGACTTGTTGTTATTGCAGCTTGTTTTGCAGATTTTTAATGTTTTATTTGGGTGTGCTTTTGCCACTGGTCAGTCAAGTGACAGACCATGAGAGATGACAGTGCCAGAATGTGCAGTCCTTAAAAAAGAACTGAACTGCTCAGCCTGCTCTAAGTTGATTCTTTGGGTGAAGTTCTTCTGCTGGGATATCAATAACAGTTGAGTCTTGGTCATACTCAAAGTGATAATTTTGTTTTCAGCTATAGAATTCCTGCCTTTTTTGGCACTTTGCTGTTGCTTGAAGGAGGTGCAGTTTATTGGCTTTGGACTGGAGTTAGCAGTGAAACTTTGGAAATCTCTCCAGAGTTCAAATTGAAATGAATTCTTGTGACAGCTTGAAGTTATTCTCTCATTAATTATTCTGTATTGGTTGTGATCTGACACAGCTGATAACACTGCTCAGGTGTGGGGGTATTGGAACTGAACTATTCCTGCAGAGGGGAAACAAGGAATTTTTTTTTAAATTATTTTATTTAAATTGGGAAGAGTTGTATATGCCATTCCATGCTCTGAAAGCTCAAAGATGAATTTGACTTCAAGCCAGTCAGGTGTGTGTGTGTGTGTGTGTGAGGAGTGTGTGTTTTGTTTTAGCATGATGAATTCTGACATTTTGTCTTTATTACAATAAATTAATTTAAATATAACAATAATTTTTTTGTATTATCTATTATTTACATAATATTACTGTATCTGTGTTATAAAACTACTTCATTAATTCTTTCCTAATCCAGAGTGCCCTCTTCAGTTAAACACTGAAAGGAGTCCCCTGCTCTTGTTCAAAGGCAGCCTTGTGTTGCTGCTGCCCACAATGTCACATTAACTGGCTTCACAGAAATAGAATTAGAAAGGTTTTGTGTTATTTCATCCATGCTTTTTATCTGAAGCAAAATCAGATGTTGGGGTGTGGCTGGCTAGTGATTAAAAAGCAATCAAAGTCTGAAATAAAAGCTGTAATGTTGTGTCTACAGGAAGTTTATTCCAGTACTTCATAGCTTTTTTATTTCTCTTGTCCAGTCAGTGTTTGTTACTCCAGAACTGTTTGTCTGTTGGATGGAGCTGGGGATCAGGGGCCCCCTTTGTCTGTGCAGGATTTGAGGGCTGGTCCCCTGTGCCAAAGCCAGGCTTGTGCACAGGAGATGTTCTGATGGTGTGACTGTTGGCCCTGGGCTGTGCTCAGGTGCCCTTTGTTTTGGTGCTGGGAGATGAGGGGGGTGTGTCAGACAGGGCTTTGTGTGCCCTGAGTGGGCTCTTCATCTGAGCTGCAGATTGTGACCCTGGGCTCTGTCATCTGTGCCACACTCAGCACAGTTTTATAACAATTCAGCCACTTCAGTGCAGTTTGTGCCTCCTGGGCAGTCTCAAAAGTCCCTTCCAGTCTGTCTGAGATTGCCTCAGTGTTTCAAAGGGTTCTGTGTTTGCTTAATCATTATTTGCTGTTCTGTCATTATGCACAACTTTCATGAGTCACATAAATAACTTTTCTCCTCCAATCCTGTCTTTCAAAATCCTTTGTGGTCCCTTCAGGCTGCTTACCTGGTATCTGACATCTTCAACAGTTGGACAGGGCAGATTGATAATAAAAGTATTGCCCAGTACTGTGGATAACTACTGGGTAATTTTAGGAATTAGAATACATTATTTCTCTGAAATGCCAAGACTGAGGTTTTTCTAGTTTATTTATATGAAGGTTATGTGAGATGTGACATCAACCACTTCTCCCTTCTCCACAGGACCTGTTACCTGTCGTAGAAAAAAGCTTGGGTGGCTTGACAGAACTTGTTGGTAATAGATCCATGTTGGTTGTTTGTAAACACCTAAAACTTCATTGCAACTTCTAGAAAAACCACTAGAATAAAAACTAACTGGTCTGTCTTGGGCTTTACTCTTCCCTCTTTCAGTCTTCTAGAACATCACGTGCCTTCCAGGAGTTTTTAAAGATAACAAATGGCTTTGTGTGCCCTTTTTATTTACTTTTTTTTTCCCCTCGTGTCAGCATTAACTTCTAATTTAAATAGGTCATTTATCTCCTGACACATCTAGAGACAGCCATCGTGCATCCTGTCTGAACTGCCTTGGGTTTGTTAGACTAAATTAGACAAGTTATTCTTGTGCTGGAGGCTGAGCTGTCTCCTTTATGAGGAGTTTGTTCTTCCTCAGTTCCACCCCTGGCTGATGTTCCCTTGGACGTGAGTGATTAAACACGGCATGCAGCACTCCAGGAGTGTCTCCCTGCAGACAGAACTGGTGCAGCACTTCTCTGTCTGGGGTGGAAGGACTTTGAGTGATCTCAGGCTCTCACTGGGCTTTTCTTGGCTGCATCAGGCTGGCAGCTCGTGCTCATTCCTGACTTTGGGAACAGAACAGGCTTTGGGTCCTGAGCGTGCCTGTTCCCTGTCAGCTGCTGTGCTCACCCCCCTGTGCAAGCAGTGGGAGATGGAACTGTGCTGAGGAGGGGAGGGCTGCTCATGCTGGGGTGGGAGAGCTCTCAGTGGCTTTAGGAGGTAGCTGGTTATGACTTGTTGAGGATATCCTGGAGAAAGCCTTATTTACAGCAGCACCCTCTGTGTGAGGAAATGTGCTGGACTTGTCTTTGTAGGCATTTTAGGTGTCTGAACTGTTTAAAGAGCCCTAGGTTTTCAGAAAGTTGATGACAAAAATATGAAGCTTTAAAGAGACCATCTGTTTCTCTCCCAGCCATGAATATCCTGAGGGTGAAATGTTGAGGTTCTGTCACAGGATGGATCTCTGTCACCCTGTGGATCTCTGCTCAGCCCGATGATGGATTGGTGTCTGCTCTGTCAATTCTTACCTGGGAGAACTCTCTCATCTGGGCAGATGCTGCAGTGTCACGTCCATTTTTCATGCTCTGTATTTCCTCAAGCATCTTGTCTGCCTTTATATTTCTGGCCTGTTGGTGTCCAGACTGTGATCTTTCAGAGAACTTCAACTGGCAGTTTCTGGGGTGGATTCTTTTGCTTCACATGGACTTCTAGACTTAAGAAGTTTTCATTTATATTCACAAGAAGATTCTTGTGAAATTCCAAGGTTGCCTTTCCCCTCCATTCCTGCACAGGACACATCTGAGTGCCCAGGGCCCTGCCCAGCCCTGACAGATGAGCGGGGAGCTGGAATCCAGCAGCACTGATGCAGAGCTGAGGGGGAAAGGGCTGGGTGGGTCAGGATTTTTTAACTCCAAGGTACCATTAGTCTCCATGAAAGTGTTTTGTGTTTTAAGTTCTGTTATAGTTGATGCACTAATTCTTAAATTCTGCTGAAATACTCCTACTTTGAGTAGGTGCTGCTAAGAGGGCTGTGGCTTAGGAGTAGTGCTTAAGTCTGAAAAAAGGTACCCTTTGAACTTGGTTATGTCTTTGTACTTTGGAAAAAAAACCCACTTAAATCTCTAACAGTCAAATCTTGCCTTAATGTTTTCAGCATGTACCCTGGAAAAAATCCACCTAATATTTCACACACATTTGAGCTGGAAAACAGATGCTTGTTAAATTCTTTGGCTATGTAAGGAAGCTGTACATGGTTATATAATCTACTTTTTGTCTAAAAATACAGCTTTTTAATCTTAAATGCTTGTGTGCTCCACACATTGGGTTACATTGTTCCAATTTCAGTGATGAATTTGTCTGTGGGTTTATAATTTTCAGAATGATAGGAGGAAGCTGGTGGTTCAGTCAGGGAATTGTTCAGAAGTTTGGAGTCTAATATGAAAATGTAAGATATGCCTTGCCATGGAATGCTTCAGAGTGGCTGTTTGCAATTGGAGGAGTCCTTTGGAATGACTGCTTGGAGATCCCACAGGAATATGCAATTCATGCCCCCTTTTTTAAGGGAAATGTTGTCTGCAGATAGAGGAGTTCTTCCTGTTACTTGTTTAATAGTTGAAGTGCAGCAAGTACGAGTGCAACCAAAGGGGAATTTTTTTGTAGCAGGTGTCCCACATTCCTTATGGGTAAAGTGCTAATAATAGAACTGTGTACGGTTGGGTTTTATGGAAAATCCCAAATATGGTTATTTTTAAAATGTTATTTGCTATAAATAACACATCACAGGTATTTCTGTGCTTTATGCTGCTGTGGAATTCAGCATTTCATCTCTTTTTAAAGTGAATTAAACCTTAGTATTTATCAATCTCTACACAGGCAACACCCTGTGTTGTGCCACGTCTTGGGGAGGTGCCAAAATAACAAGAAATAACAAAGTGATTTTTATGAAAACTTTACTCAATGGTTAAAACATTTAACTGCAACTTGACTGCTTCAACCACATCCTTTTTCCTTTCAGGACAAAAGACAGTTTTGGCAAACGCTCAGGAGGAGCTGGACAGGATCACTCGGAAGCCAGACCCCATGGTAACAACAAACTCTCCTCCAACAGAGAATGAAGCTTGATAGCACGGCACAAACGCATCTGTAAATGACCAAATAACTATGTATAGTGATCTGATAAGACCAGGAATTTTCTGCTCTGGCAGATGCTATCAGTTTTCTCGGGGCAGGGGAAATGAGCTTACTCCATCATTGCCTTGTCCCAGTCAAAAGTGCACATTCAGGAAGTTTGCATATAAAACCCCTCTGTATAAGATAACCATTTAGAGTTTCTATAGGGCAATTCTTTTGGTTGGGAGGTGAAGCAGGTGCAGCTGCATTGCCTGTTGGGAAGAACACAGAGAAGCAAAGTGGAGAATCCTTTTTTTAAAGTACTACTGACTGCACACGAGGCGAGGAGGAGAACTGAAACCTTCCTTCAGAGTTACTGGAATTGGCTACTTGGATGTTGGCAAAGGCATTGTATTCTGGGAGTGCTGGGGGTGGTGGTGGTGGAACAGCATTAATTGGGTGAAAAAAGCCTGGGGAGGGGATGGACCCTGGAAGGGGAGGAGGATTTGGGACAGCGAGAAACCAGAATGTTGGATTGACTGGAGAGGAGCAATGTCGTTAAATCCCGTGCCTCACACGGGGCACACAGCCACTGCTTTTAAAAGACTACTTTACATTGGAGAATTCCAGGCCAAACACTAAGAAACTGTGGGAATTTATTCTTGTTATAAAGCTTGTTTTAGTTTTTAAAGAAGTCTTAAGAGTGTGGGTGCCCTTTCTGGTGTAGCTGACAAAGGGAGAAACTAAACTCGTTTAGCTCCAAGTGCCTGGCACAGCGTGTGATGTGTCTTTAGAAGGTGCTTGAACTTATTGTGCACTGTAGTACAAACAGTCACTGTTTGGTTTTATTTGAAAAACAGTAGTTGGGCAATTTGTATTTAATTTTAAATCCTGTTTTCTGATAGCTTCTGCCTTTTTTTAATGCCAAGAGGCGAGCCTATGAAGAGTGGTGGGTGACGGATCATGTTCCCAGAATGAAATGTGCTACAGAACACTCGCAGTCATTTTTTTTCTTACTTTATTTTGTAACTAAATCTTAGCTACCAAGCTAAATTTGATTCCTGCCTTACACCTCTGGAGGTTTTTTAAAAAAAACCCCAAACTTTCAAGGCCCTAGTTCCAACCACTTGTGCTGCAGGTGCAGCCAACCCCAATTGGGAGGGTGACCTGAAGAGGGTGAATGTGTAGGGGGGGACGTGCTGAAAAGTTGGTTTGTGTTTTCTTTGATGTAGCATTTCATTTGGAGAGATGGGCTGGGGGTGTCCCCACTGCTGTAACAGAGCCCTGTCCATGGTCACACAAACCACCCTTCTGTCAAAGCAAACCAACTGCTCTGGTTACTGAAATGGCACTTTGATTTTGTGCACAGTATGCTTGTTTTACATGGACACACTACCAGAAATTAGAGATACCAAGCATGTGCTGTGCTCTTAACGCTGAAGGGAAAAAAACCACAATTTGATTTATACAGAGTTTACTTTTTATTGCTATGAACTTGTTGTACTAAATCCAATGTCTGGATATAACTTCCCTAATATATATTGTTACTTAAATACACAGAACTAGACTGACCACTAACACAGTGCTGGGTGTTAACCTCGAATCCTGTGTGACATCAAGAGGCTGTTCGTGTAAGTCTGTCCAAATGCTTAGGAAGCTAAGAGTATTTACTTGCCTCTTACAAACATTAACATGAGTATGTTACTTGTGCCAGTTTTTTTTTTTTTGTTTGTTTGTTTTTTGTTTTTTTTTAAATACTCTATTTTTCTTTTTTTTTTTTTACCTTTGTAATAAACGGTATGAGCTGAAGTTGTACAGCTGGCTAAGATAACAGTTACACTGAGGCTGGGGCTGGGCATGTGGATGGACTTGCTGGTGGAACAGGTGCCAGGTGCAAGTTTACCATTCTAGGAGTGATTGCACACTGTCCTCCTGATGCTGAGAACTGAGATTGGAGACCAAACCATCAACCATTCAACAGGAAAAGGGAAGAAGTGTGTGATTGGAATGGGATACAGTTTGAAAACTTCAGTCTGAAACTGCCTTTTTTGTCATCTAACCTGATAAGCACTTTTCTAGCAATGTGGCACCACTTCAAATGGAAGTAATCACTAAAAGTGTTCAGTGTACTAAAATGGATCCAAACTGTTGATGTTTGACTTACCAACTTTGCAGAGAGACAAAAGAGAAGCAGATTTCCAGTTTCTAATTGCAAGTGAATGCTCCTAGTTTACTGAAGAGAGCTGTCAGTAATGTAGCATCCTGTGGTTGCCAAGGTCTGGGGACTTTGGTGAGCTGCACAGTTGTCATTCTGGTGTCTTCAAGCATTGGAACCAAAGGCCAAATGCAAACAGCCTTTACATTTTCAAGTGAAACTTCATTTTATTTGCAGATACACTCGTATGGTAGACTGTTTAAACTATTATATGCCTATATTTATATGCATTATAGTGACTGCATCTACTGTTCATGTTTAAACTGTGGAAACAAAAGATGAAAGCATTCAACTTGAAGCAAATAGAAATGTTTAAAGATTGGCCCTCCATAAAAATGCTGTGGTTATGCTGCTTGATTTTAAGTTTGCACTTTTTTTTTTTATTGGCATTTAAAAAAAAAAAAAACCAAACCTGTTTAAACTGAACAGAATTTCGTATTTTATTTAATTTAACTACGTTGGAAGTGACTGCTCTGTACATCGTGAACTTAACAATATACATGCTGTAAATGAAAGTTCACTGTCCTGTATACTAAGTTTATTGGGTTGTTTTTATTTTTTTTTTTTTCCAACTTACAATTAGGACTGCCAATGTCTGAACAACCCTTAGTCCAGTTGTATGGCTTTAACCAGGTGCAGTCATGTGGAACTTTGCTTTCTAGTGCTGGCAAAACGAGGACGTCTTTAACTACTGGCTTCAATAAAGATGAATCCAGACTGCTCTGTGCCCTGCTCTGGTGTGGTTTGTGAGCTCCCCCTCCGGGGCTGTGGCTGTGGGAGCAGAGGGTGGGGCTGTGGGGCAGGCTGGCAACAGGAGCAGTAAATTGCTGGTGCAATTGTGCAGCTCAGGGACAGCTCCCTCTGCCAGCTCAGCTGCTCTGGGTGCACAGTAATTAATGGACTTATGGAAACACTTGGATACTTCACCAGCTTCCAACGTGAACCTTCTAATGCTGTTCCCAAACAGAGCACTGCTCCTACACTTGCAGGATGGTGAGGAGTGAATTGCTGGAGTGTTGGAATTGCCTTTTCTCTGCCGGTAGCCAGGCTGGGTGTTCTCTCAGTAAGTGCTTCCTGGTAAGCACAGAAAGGGGAGACATTTAATTAGGATTCTACTTGATTACTTCATTGTTACTTCAGCTGGTTACTTCCACACTCCCCTCCAGAGATGGAAGTCCTAGATATTACTGTTTGTTCAGTCACCCTGCCTCTGAAAAACTCAGCTTTTGGTGTCTAAAATACAATTTCTCTAGAAGGGAATCCTTATCAGGCCGTGAAACAACTACCACTTTAGAATTGCCATAGTGTTTTATGTTTCAATTAGTTCATTAATGTGAAGAGTTAATTTTAGTCCCTGATGATGGGCTTTAGAAAATGTTTTTGAGTATATGAAGCCTGTTAGTTTGGGAGAAACCCAAATGAAGATTCCATCTTCAGATGTGCTGAAGCTGAAAGTCCCTTCAGAAAGATGGTAACAGTGGATTGAATTCAAGAACACCCTTTACAATTCCTGTATTTACTTTGCTGCTGTTCAACTTAAATTTGGTTGTTTGTTTTTTTTTCAAAGCTAAATGTCCCCAAATGTTAAAAATAATAATTGAGATAATAAGGTTTTGCTGAGGAAAAATCTTTGTGGAGGCTCTAAGGTACACTTGAATCTTTCTGTTCCAAGTGGTTGTGTTAACCCCTCTGGCTTTTCAGGCGTGGCAGGGTTTTGTTAGAGAATTAACTAGAAAGGGCTGTGCAGTCACTGTTCTGTGCCAGGATTCAGAGCCACACACTCAGTTCCTGGAGATGGAACCACCCTGGTAATGACACCAGCAGTCCTGTGAGGAGATGTCAGAACTGAGGGAAGCAATTCCTGTTCTCTGATCCCGTTGTTTGCAGACTTTGTGTAGCACACTCACCACTGTGAGTAATAACTTCTTACCTGAAGAGAAAGATCCCTCACTCCCCTTTCCCTGATGCTTAATTACAGTGATTTCAGCTCCAGAAACCTTCAGCAAAACCTTTGCAAGCCCAGAAGGTGGCAGGCGTGGGATCAGTGCCTGGAGTGAGGCTGGTGGAGGTGGCTCTGGGAGCAGCTGTAGCACTGCTTGCCGGCTTCCCCAGACAGTTCTTGTTTGGCAGGTTATTTTTTTCAGCTGAGTACTTTTCAGAGTGAAAGCTGAATTTTTCCCCAAAGAAAAAGCAGTTTCTTTCAGTCCTAAGAATTTTGTTACTATGAGTTCAGCTGTTTCTCTTCCTCATTCTGTGTTGGGTCAATTGACAGTGGTTTGTCCTTCAGAACAGAAGCTGAATGTCATAAGTTTACTTGTTCCAATAAACCAAGCTTAGAATTATTTTTATTTCCCCCCTGCACCACTATGAAAGAAAGGTTTTGAACGAGGGAGGGGGATTCACACCCACAAAAACTGCTTAGAAGGAGGAGTTTGGTCTTCCTCATAACTCATCCTTCACTTCAGTCTCATTAAACTGAGACCCTGCAATAGCAAAGTCCAGCACTGACAGGAAACTGTTGTATCTGCCCACGAGAAACCTGCATGGTCAGCACAAGCTGCCTCTGAGAAGTGTTTGAGCTTCAACAGGAACGTTCCCTCCTCAAACTGTTGGCTCTTGTTTGTTTGGAACACTCGGCGTGGCTTTGTGGGACACACAAAAATGTCAGCTTGGCCTCAGAAATGCTTAATGCTTCAAACAAACCAAAAAAAAATATCCCTCAAAATAGGCCAGAAAGGTGCTTGCAGCTAGAAGGTGCTGGAAATAGCCCTGCACGAGTATTTGCAAGAATGTGCAGTAAAATATTGAATTCTTGAGGGAAGGGAATGTGATTGGAGGTGTCTGGCACTCTCCAGTCTGCCAGCATTCCAAAGCCCAGAGAGGGGATGGGGTGACAGCGTTAGGATTGAGGGAGTCAACAGAACAGAGGGAAAACATCCTGGATGGAGGGGCTGCTGAGGCAGAGCCACCCACTGTTCGTGGCTCAGGGGGACGGGCTGGAGGGCAGTGCTGGCCCTGCATGGCCCATAGGACAGAACCAATTCTTGTCTTGCCCTAATAAATTAAAATCTCCCTTTTCCAGGTGAGGAGAATGATTGTCCAGGAAGGACTTGGGAGACTGAGGATGCTTTGGAGATTATTAGATTATTAGAAAGTGAGTTCAAAATTTTCAGATGTTCTCAAAGAGTTTAGAAGGAAAAGATTCCATTTTATGAAAGATCAGTCACTGACTGCAGAGAAAATCCCTTTCGTCCAAAACAAAGGCAAAGGGCCTTGGGGGAGAGCTCTGGCACTCCCAGCCAAAGCCAGAATTGCAGCTGTGTGGCTCAGGTGAGTAAGGAAGTGATGGAGTCTGGGCTCTGCTTTGATGAGAATTGGTAGTTCCTGTTGTGATGGACTGGTTTGGGAACAAGCAGGTGGAATATCAGCCTTTGATCTATGTGAGACATCAGGGCTGCTGAGTTCAAACTTTGTGTACTTTATGTGGTAAACTTGAATTGTTGCACACAGGTTTGTTTTCCTGGGGGAAGCACGAGTGCCCCAGGACAATAGTGGGGTGTCAGGAGGAGACCAAAATTAGCTGTGTGAGGATGTCCTGACCAGTGTCTCACAGTGCTGATGTGCTGGGCTGGAAAACTGCCAGAGAAGTTGGCAGGCTCTGAAATACAGCTTAGCAAAAGCCTGTCAGGATCTCCCCAAGTCACCTTTTGGCTGAACAGAAGTACAACACATCTCTTAGGAGATGTGCTGCCACATCTCAACTGTTTGTTTGCACCGGTGCTCTGTCCTGCTCTGCCCCCTCCTCAAAAATAACTGCAATCTCTTGGCCTGTTTCAGTGAGGAGAAAGATCTCCCAGCCAGCTGAGTCAAT